AAATAAAACATAAATAAATAAATAGATAAATAAATGAATAAATAAAACAGATAATCACAGATAAATAAATAATATATATATATATACACATACAAGCAAATAAATGAATAAATAAATAAACAAATAAATAAACAAATAAATAAATAAATAAGATAAGTAAACATGAATAAACAAATAAATTAATTAATAAAACAGATAAATAAACAGATAAACAGACGAATAAATAAATAAATTAATTAAATAAATAAACAAAACTGATAAATAAATAAATAAATAAAAGATAAAAAACATAAATAAATTAATAAACAGATGAACAGATAAATAATTAAATAAGATATATAAACATAAATAAATAAACAGATAAACAGATAAATGAATAAACAAATAAATATAGAAATAAAAAGAAACAAAACAGATAAATAAACAGATAAATAAATAAAATAAATAAAATTTAAATAAATAAATAAACAAAACGGATAAATAAACAGATAAATAAAATAAATAAATATTTAAATAAACAAATAAATAAATAAGCAAAACAGATAAATAAAGATAAATAAATAAATAAAACAGATAAATAAAAAACAAATAAACAGAAAATAAACAAAAAATAAGTAAAAAAACAAAACAAAACAGATAAATAAACATAATTAAATAAATAAATAAATAAAGTATACAAATAAATAGATAGATAAATAAATAAAACAGATAAATAAATAGATAAATAAACAGAAAATAAACAAAAAATAATAAAATAAAAACAATACAGATAAACATAATTAAATAAATCAATAAAGTATACAAATAAATAGATAGATAAATAAATACAACAGATAAATAAATAGATACATAAAATAAATAAATAAACTAAACAGATTAACATAAATAAATCAATTAAACAGTTAAATAAACAGAAAATAAACAAAAAATATGTAAAATAAAAACAAAACAGATAAATCAACATAAATAAATAAAACAATTAAATAGATCAATAAATAGATAGATAAATATATCAAACAGATAAATAATTAAATAAACAAATAAATAAATAAATAAACCAAACAGATAAATACACAAATAAACAGCAGGTATATATGCATTATTCCTGCAAATAAATACGAAATAAAGTTGTGTTACTAAACATTTGTGTGTTGTTGTTTTATTGAAGTCGACGTTGATGTCCAATGACTCTATCACAGTAGTTGTCACTCAGCGCGGAGGGATTCCGGCAAATATGTCTGATAATCTAATGAGCCATATTGTTTGCAAATAATTTAGAAATGTAGAGACACTCCAGCCGGCCTCTTCGTGCTCCTTCATGACTTGAATTGTTTACTTGGGAACATCCCTTTACTACATCCCCTTCGCGCTCTGATTTGATGCTAAATAACCAGTTAGAGCGCTTTCGTCAGCCGACACAGCTCCATGCCCTCGTGTGATGTACTGAGAAAGGCTTTTAAGCAGCAATGGCTCTAGTCAATCCGTTTCCTTTTAGTTACAGGTAGTGCTGGAATCTCTATTTTCCCTCCAATTAGCACTTTCTTCAGTGCGGCCTGCATAGTGGCCGAGCTGCTCCAGATCCTATCTTACTTAAAAATGCTTTATAAAGAACACAACCATCCAGTACATTTATTCTCTCATGCAAGACGTTAATGACATGACTTTCTGTGATAATGCTTTAAAACAATTGTGATCACACACACAACTGACATTTAGCTGCTTCCCTCTGCAGCACAGAAGCCGAACACACACCTTAGATGTGAAATGAAGCAAAATACCTCCAGCTGGTTGACCAGTAACTTCCCCTTCCGGTTGATCTCCATGATGAGATTGCAGATGGACTTTTTGATCTCATTAGCCACAGTCTTGCGATTCTCATCCACTTGCTGAAGACTGGACATGCATTGAAGAGCATATAATAAAATAAAATGTGTGAAAACACGCTTAATCAATCACTTCTGGATATTTAGGATTTGTCAAACCTTCAAAAATGTAAAACTGCAGATTTAACTGAACGGATCAGACTGACTCAGCAGAAAGAAACGCATCTTCAGAATAATCTGTATACTTGCATTTTAAATAATACATTTTTAAACAAAAACAGATAAATAAACAGAGAAACAGATGAATAAATAAATAAATAATTATTTAAACTAAACAAAAAAGATAAATAAATAAATAAATAAATAAATAAAACAGATAAATGAACATAAATAAATAAATGAATAAACAAATAAATAAATAAACAAAACAGATAAAAAACAAATGAATAAATAAATAAATAAATAAACATATAAACAGATTAATAGATAAATAAATAGATAAATAAATAAATAAATAAAACAGATAAATGAACATAAATAAATAAAGGAATAAACAAATAAATAAATAAATAAACAAAACAGATAAAAAACAAATGAATAAATAAATAAATAAATAAATAAATAAATAAACATATAAACAGATTAATAGATAAATAAATAGATAAATAAATAAATAAATAAATAAAACAGATAAATGAACATAAATAAATAAATGAATAAACAAATAAATAAATAAACAAAACAGATAAAAAAACAAATGAAAAAATTAATAAATAAACATATAAACAGATTAATAGATAAATAAATAGATAAATAGATAAATAAATAAATAAAGTAATAAAGTAATAAACAGATAAACATATCTGTTTATCTATATGTTATCTTATCTGTTACATATATAACAGATAAACAAATGTTTAAGTTTTTTTGTAATATTTCAATCAAATTCAGTCGTCTTTGCATGTTAATGGCTCTGTGGTGTTGGTTAATGACTTACAAGTAAACAGATAGCATTTCTAATCGTTTTCAGAAAGCATTTTAATTAGCTTTTTGCTTAACCTTTTATCGGTCCAACAACTATATACAGTAACAATGGCATTGATCATTTAGTGCAAACTATAAAAGCCTTAAAACGTTTAAAGGTCACCCAGTTCCACTCCAGTGTGGTGGAGTGCCCTATAAAGGGCTGAAAATGATTGATATGTGCTGTAATTACAATTTCAACTCACGGAAAAAAAGTTACTTTTACGAAATGAAATGAATTATGAGTAAATAAATAAATAGATAAACAAACAATATGATTTTAAAAAAAAGAGATAATAAAAAATAAAAAAGTAAATAAATAAAAAGATAAACAGATAAATAAATGTATCAAAGAGACAAATTAATAAACAAACAAATAAATAAAAACACACAGACACAGATAAATAGATAAATAAACAAATGAATAAATAAAAACAGACAAACAGATAAATAAACAAATGAATAAATAAAAACAGACAAACAGATAAATAAACAAATGAATAAATAAAAACAGACAAACAGATAAATAAACAAATGAATAAATAAAAACAGACAAACAGATAAATAAACAAATGAATAAATAAAAACAGACAAACAGATAAATAAACAAATGAGTAAATAAAAACAGACAAACAGATAAATAAACAAATGAGTAAATAAAAACAGACAAACAGATAAATAAACAAATGAATAAATAAAAACAGACAAACAGATAAATAAACAAATGAGTAAATAAAAACAGACAAACAGATAAATAAACAAATGAGTAAATAAAAACAGACAAACAGATAAATAAACAAATGAGTAAATAAAAACAGACAAACAGATAAATAAACAAATGAATAAATAAAAACAGACAAACAGATAAATAAACAAATGAGTAAATAAAAACAGACAAACAGATAAATAAACAAATGAGTAAATAAAAACAGACAAACAGGGGCCTGTTTCAGTAAGGAGGTTCAAACAACTCAGAGGTTAAACTTGAACTCTGAGTTGATTTACCAAGAGATTAAAAACTCTGAGTTTTCGGTTTCAGAACAGCTGATCTGAGTTAGGTCAATCAACTTTGAGTAGACCAACTCAGAGTTAAGCGCGCACACCGTGACTTTAAAAAGACATTATAAATGGAGCGCAGATATTACGAGTGATCCTGGCAACATCTTAAAAAAAGAGATCAGCATTTCTTTCTCCGGCTGAACTTGATCTGCTCATGCAAAGTTATAGCAAATATGAGCGTATATATTTAAAAAGAAGCAACCATCAGTGAAACAGACAGTTAGCGTGAGAAAACAGCTGCTCAAGTTAATGCGTAATTTTTAATTTAAAATATTTAAATATTTAAGTATAATAAAATAAGTAATGTGTGACGTTTATAAAATGTTTCTAAACTTTTATACACGTTTATCAGTTTTAATAGATTTAACAGTGCACTTGTGTGTCTGCCTTTTTATTGATCAAGTGATAGAGGCTGATATAACATTAAGAAGGTAAGCAGTGCTAAAAATACCTTTTAGAAAGAAGTAATCCCATTAATCTAGTAACAGTACATGTAAAAGTTTAAGCTAATTATTTATGTGTGACAAAAATGTAGGCAATATCTATGTTTCTATCCAAATATATACATTAAATTTGTGCAAAACTGGAATAACGCCTAAAAGATGCGAATAAAGCAGAGTTTTTATCCAACAAGTCAAAGAGAACAAAATCGTCACTTCCTGATTAACTTGCGCCAACAGTAAAAACAGAATTTACTGTGGTAGAAGAAGCTGCGTCAATGATTTTTTATTTAATAAATGTACTTGCGCCTCAGACGACAATGCTGACACACAATGAACACGTGGGGGCGTTTGTTGCCATGAGACGCGGAGACTTGACACGCTCCTAACGCTCAGAGGTGATTAATAATATACACTAATACTGAAACAGTTCAGGCATTTTAGAATGACCAAAACAACATTTAGGATGTTCTGCAGTGTGCTCAGTCTGCTGGTTTGTCCATTCACACACATTTTCATCATCATCATATGATCTCTTATAACAAACCTTTTTTTTAATGCACATACTGTAATTTGTTAAGTGCACTTAGTAGTTTATGTGCATCTTATCAAATAAAAGTTTAACCTACTCAGTTATGCACATGTTTTATTATGCATATTTTCAAAAGTGATGTGAATCATGACGTTTTCATCAATCGTTTTCATGCACATCTCCAAAATGAGCTCTAAAATAGGTGTGTGGAAATGTAAGGCTAAGGTGAGAATTACGCTTCATCTTTAAAAAAGGGAAGGAGACTGACAGAAACTCAGAGTTTAGAGAATAAAACCTGCTCCGGACCAGGTTAGCTTCACAGAGTAAGTTACCACGGTAACTGACTCTGAGTTAAAGTTACCTTTCTTTCAGAAACAGGCTTGACTTACCCTGCTTTCTCGAGTTTAACAAACCTGCCATTTTGAAACGGAAAACCCAGAGTTTCTCTCATTTCAGGGTTAAAATACTCTGAGTTTTCACTTTACCTCCTTTCTGAAACAGGCCCCAGATAAATAGATAAATAAACAAATGAGTAAATAAATAAAACAGATAAATAAACATAGATAAACAAATAATTAAATAAATAAAACATAAACATAGATAAATACATAAATAAATAAATAATAAACAAATATTTAAATAAAACAAAAATAAACAAAGATAAATAAATAAATAAAACAGATAAATAAATAAAACAGACAAATAAACATAGATAAAATAAATGAATAAATAAATAAATAAATAAAAAACATAAATAAACTGATTAACAAATGGATAAACATAGATAAACAAATAAAAATAGATAAATAAATAAAATAGATAAACACAAATAAATAAAAATAAACACATATAAATGTGTTTAAATAAATTTATTAGAAAAATAAATAAATAAATAATAAATAAACATTGATAAATAAACAAATAAATAAAACATAAACATAGATAAATAAATAAATAAATAAATAATAAACAAATAAATAGATCAAACAAAAATAAACAAAGATAAATAAATAAATAAAACAGACAAATAAATTAATAAAACAGATAAATAAACATAGACAAAATGAATGAATAAATAAATAAATAAAACATAAAGACGCATGAATAAAAAATAAACAGATAAATAAAACAAATAAACATAGATAAATAAATAAAACAGATAAATAAACTTAGAAATAAAAAAATAAAACATAAATAAACATAGAAAAATGAATATAACAAATAAACAGATGAATGAATAAATAAATAAATGAAACAGATAAATAAGCATAGATTAATACATAAATAAATAAATAAATAAATAAACATACATGAATTAATAAATAAATATATAAATAAAACTGATATATAAACTCAGATAAATAAAATAATAAAACAAAAATAAACAGATAAATATATAAATACATAAATAAATGAATAAAACAGATAAATAAACATACCTATAAATAAATAAATATAGACAGGTTAATTAATTAAACAGATAAATAAATAAAACAGACAAATAGATAAATAAACGATTTAAGATCAACACATCCATAAATATTACATAAATTAAAATTAATTGAAAGAAAGAAAGAAAGAAAGAAAGAAAGAAAGAAAGAAAGAAAGAAAGAAAGAAAGAAAGAAAGAAAGAAAGAAAGAAAGAAAGAAAGAAAGAAAGGTACCCATTGTTAATGGTGTTAGTGACGTCCTCTATGGCTTTCTTCTTTTCTTGAAGTTGGCAAGTCATGTTTTCCAGATGCTCCTTGTGATTCCTATACGCATCTTCCAGAAACTGATAACTGAGTAAGAAAAAGCTTCTGTTAGCTGCGGTGTTCAGTCAAACAATGTTAAAGCAGTGAACATCAATAGAACAGACGCTGAGCAGAGACAATGTTAGAATTTCAGAAGTAAGAAGAAGAAATAAAAGGGTAGTTCACTCAAACATGTTCAAACAGGTCTCGGCGCATGTGTGAATGTAGAGAAAGCTGAAGACACAATCACCAATATCAATCAACAAACTGTCCAATTGTCCAAGTGTGCCGCCTCGTGCTTTAGTCCTCGAAGTGAGCAGACTACAATCAAACTACACTCACAATAACTGTTTGACCAGGCTGTGGATTAAATATAATAACACTATAAATATTGTTCAATTTCTTACACAAAGCAATCATATCTCTCAGACCTCAGTGTGTCATCAAGAGTCATGGCTAGTGATTTGGACGTGTTACTATGCCTTTATTTAATTTTTTATTTAAATAAATGAGATAAATAAAACAGAAAAGTATAAATAAATAAGTAAATAAGTAAATAAATAAAAATAGATAAATAAATAATTAAATAAATAAATATAAACCGATAAACAGATAAATAAATAAATTATTTAAACAGATAAATACAAAGGCTAAAAAAAACAAACAATAAACAAAAAAATAAATAAATAACAAACAAACAAACAAACATATAAATACATGAATAAATAAACATACAGATAAATAAACAAATAAATAAATATACAGATAAATAAATTAAAATAAATAAATAAACACAGATCAATAAATACATAAATATATAAAAACAGATAAATAAATAAATAAACATACAGATAAATAAACATGGATAAATAAATAAATAAAACAAATAAATGAACAAATAAATAAATAAAACAGATACATAAATATACAGTAAATAAAAAACTGATAAATATATAAATAAATACATAAACAAAAATAAGTAAATACAGATAAACTGATAAATAAATTAACAAATTAATTTAAACAGATAAATAAAAAAGCTAAATAAATAAAAACAAACAGATAAATAAACAAACGCACATATAAATAAATAAATAAATAAAACAGGCAAACAGATAAATAAATAAATAAATAAATAAATAAATAAATAAACATAAATTAATGAACAAAACAGACAAATAAAAAAGATAGATAAACATACAGATAAATAAATAAACAAATAAATAAAAACAGACAAAGAGATAAATAAATAAATAAATAAACAGATAAATAAATAAATAAATAAATAAATAAATAAATAAATAAATAAATAAATAAATAAATAAAAACAGATAAACTAAATGGAATAATTAATAAACAAATATGCATCTTTAAATGTTCGCACACACGCGCACAAAAACAGATTGGGAGATTTCCCCCTATGAAATGTTGAGTTTCACAGGACACAGAAAGCCGGTCTTCAGGTTTTAAATGAGTAGATGTCAGTGTAATTGGACACAAAGTAATTAGTTACAGGTGTGTTTAATTAGGGTTGGAACTAAACTGTGCAGAGCTGCGGCCCTTCTGGAACTGAGTTTGACACCTGTGGCCTAAGCTATATTGAAATCAATTAAAGAATTACAAATATCGGATATAATAAAATCAGATTATGTGAATGAACCAATCGAAAACTAACATATGCTAGCTAGAACAATTTAGGTCAAACCGTTTTAAGCCATGTTGAATTTAACAAAGGCCTCTCTGAAAAAAAAAACATTTTAGTAGGGGTGTCAAAAGTAATCGTTTCTTCGGTGCACCGCGATGCAGACGCGGACAATTCGGTATCGGGTTCAGTAATAATCATAACCGGTTATTACTGACGTCATTTACCTCATATGCGCTCTGTCGCGAGGGAGGCGATCGCGAGTATTTACAGCGCTTTAACTACTTAATACTCATGAACTGTGCACAATTTCGCTGTGTGTGTTTGAGAATGAAAGTAGCCTACTCCATCTCTCTCTCTCTCTCGCTCTGAATCGTATAAACAGCCTGTTGAGAAACGAACTGCAGACTTGCAATGGAGATTAATGCACGGGGCTATAGCTACAAACAGGCACGTGGCACACCTTAATCCAGTGGTGGGAAAAGAGTGTTTGTTTTGTGGGGTGGATGAGACAATTAAGCAGGTCGCACACCAGAAGCGCCGCTCGGCGCCGCGACACGGCGCGTACATGACAGTTTAAAGTATCGCACACCAGACGCGCACATTCGAATGATATTTAACATGAAACTAATCAGATGGCGCTCTGTGGCGCGACTGAAAAATGAACAACGTCCTGAGCCGTCGCCGGGCGCCGCCGACAGCCGCCGACTTGCGGCGCCGGTGTGTGTATCCTGATAGGAACCTATAGCTGCGTCCCAAATCGCATACTTATGCACTATTTTACGCCATTTTGTAGTATAAATAGTGTAAGTAGTGTGTTCACATTGAAAACTTTCAAAATAATAAGTGCACTTTAATTACCCGGATGATGCACTCATTCAGCTGCTAAAGTGAAGTGTGGAATGATGGACACTTCACGCACTCAACGACCGCAGGTTTGCTTACGTAGCGGAAGGGGCGGAGCGATCGGACGCACATGTTGAATAACTTTATTTATTTTGGATGGTGATTATAGCGCCTCCCGATGGTAAATGCGGCAATACTCACGGCAGGTATTACTTGATAATTCAGTCGTTAATTTCACTGATTTGGCAACAGTCAAACGTCATCAGGGAAACGGTTTGAATTTCCGCTTAGTAAAAAAACATTAGTGTGCGATTTGGGACAACACTACATACATATACTATCCTGTTGAGTGTGTAAGTGCATAAGTACATAGTGCATGAGTGTATAGTGTGCCATTTGGGACGCAGCTTATGTTTAGAATTCTAAAATACATGGCGCTGCGCGGCGCGCTGCCGAACGGCGCTTCTGGTGTGCGACCTGCTTTAGTCATTTGTTTTTGGAGTGTTCCAGGTTAGAGGGACTGATTAATTTTTTAACACAATGTTTCCCAGAATTCGGAGACTGTTTTTCTCATCAATGTTTTATTAGTGGTCCAAAACATTATTTTTCAGAAAGAAGGAAAAAATGTTTATTGAATTTCATATTAGGGTCAGCTAAGTTGGCAATATGGAAAACCAGAAAAAGTAAGAAGTTGGGTACAGGTCTAATAAATGCCGAAATGGTCACAAAAGGGATGATAAATGCAAGAATAAAGATTGAATATACATATTATAAACTAGTAAAGGATATTGCACATTTTTCTGAAATTTGGTCAGTAGGAGAAGTTCTTTGTGTAACTCATGAAACTGAAAGATTGATTTTGAGATTTTAGGAAACAAAATGTCTAATATGTGAGAATTGTTTATTGTCATGATTGTAAGAACAATGCTTTAATAAAGGTATTGTTAAACCTCTCTTGCTCTCTCTCTCTCTCTCTCGCTCTGTCTCTCTCAGTTCAGTTCAGTTCAAGTTGCTTTATTGGCATGACATTAAGTACAGTATTGCCAAAGCATTTCAAATATGAAACATATTAAAACCATTGAAAATAATAATTAATAGTAATACAGATAAGATATAATGACACACACACACACACAAAAAAAACAATACATTTGATAAATATAATAATAATAATAGTAAAAAGTTTAAATTATTTAAATAAGATACACAAATTTATATTAACCATTTCTTATGGTGTGTAGGGTGTATACATATTTTGCAGCTAGTCTAAATGTCAATTCGTCCTCTCCGAGTATATGGCAAAGTTTTTCTGAGTCATTTAAATAAAAAAATGAACTGATCAATGTTTCAAATTGGGGGAAAAATATTTCTCTAGTCGTGGTGTATTTGGGGCAGAACAGAGGGAAGTGTGTCTCATCCTCTATTTGGTTTGTGTCACACGGTTTACATGTTCTCTTTTCCTTAGGAGTCCAGGATTTCTTATGTCTGCCGTTTTCTATGTCTAGGTCATGATCACAGAGGCGATATTTAGAAAGAATGTGCTTTTCTTTTAATTGTTTTAATGATAAATAATTTGCCAACTGTGTGGTTCTATTTAGGGCCGAATAACATTTAAGTTTAGTCTGGAGGTTGAATTCAGTTTTTAGTTTTTCATCATAGTTATATTTTAATGTTTTGTCAATCTGTTTGTGAAGGTTTTGTTTGGGGACGGGTTCGGTTTGTGTTTTTTCCAGTAGCTCAGATACCAGTGTGTTTAGAGGATGAGACACTGTAGGTTTTTCATTAGCCAGAAGGGCTTTATATTAACAGACTGGGGGTCCGACTGATGCAGGTGCAGCCAGAACTGAACAGCTCGTTTCTGAATCCCCAAGTTTAGCGGGTATAAACCCAGTTCAGCCCTGCAGGCAATGTTAGACGTGTTTCTGTGGATATGTAATATGTTTTTAGCAAATTCTAATTGTGTCTCTCTCTCTCCGCTGTCGCCACTGCCTCGCATGGTTCAGGATTGGTAGAGCTACGCATCGATGAATTGGCTCTTCAGTGTTTGAACTCTCAGTAATGATTAAATCACACTGAACTGAGCTAAACTGAACTGAACTGAACTTAAACACTAAAACCTGAACCACACTGTTCCAGTTACTGAACCACACTGTTCCAGTTACTATGACCATTTATGTGAAGCTGCTTTGACACAATCTACATTGTAAAAGCGCTATACAAATAAAGCTGAATTGAATTGAATTGAATTGAATCTCTCTCTCTCTCACACACACAGTGGCCCATTTGACCTGCTGGCGTGACTTTTCTTCTCCTCTCGGCTGTTTTACAGCGTTACTTTTGGATACAGAAACGAGCGCGCGTCTGCAGAGTTTTCTCCACCGTGTCTATCATAGATCAGCTGTGAGATCGCCGCTGCCGCCTGCCGCTTATCATTCATCTGAGGAGCGCAGCGCGCAAGAGCCAATCGCAACCGTTTCTGTTGAGGGTGTGACCAATCAAAGAGGTGTAAGAGAACTAGACAAGGATCAGAAATTGAGCTGGATATTTATATTTGTTTACATTATTTGCTAAATGCTCGTTTTTTTGAAAGTTACAGTTTATATATCCGACTGTTTGTATTAAATGACAAAATTGTATTACAAATAATAGCCTATACAAATGTAAATATATTCATACATTTTAATACAAGAGCTGCTGCTGTGAAGAAAATATAAAACTGTGTATGAAAAGCACCGTCAGTGCACCGTGATGCACCGAAATATCGAATTGAACCGAATCGATGGCATGTTAATCGTAACCGAACCGAACCGTGAGACTTAGTGTAGGTTCACAGCTCTACATTTTAGATATTTTCTAAAAAAACAAACACCGGAGGAGGTTTAAAAATATTATTTATCAAGTATTTGGAGACGATGACAATAATCAAAGCATTTTGAGTGAGTGAAAGCAGATTGACAGCACCACCAGAAGCGATTGAGCTTGACGATCCAGCCTTACCCTGTACGCCGCTCAGCTATCGTTTACATTAGTGATATTTACAGTATTTGCTAGGGGTGTAACGATTTATCGTTGTACGATTTATTGCGATGCAAAAATGTCTCAATATGCATCATGGTGTTATGACGATTTGATTACGATATGACGTCCGTTTTCTTATTAGTTGAGCTGTTTGCAGGTGAGCTACGTTCCACCTGCTGTCGCACGTGAGTTCAGATTGCAGCAGCAGTAATGTTAGCAGACCAAGATGAGTGGAGTTGAAATAGAGGATAGCCCATCCTCTCAAAATCAGACGTCTGGCAACATTTCGGTTGTACAGTCATTGCTTTAGACTCGTCCGCTTTTTGACACGCATACTGGGTCAAACATAGCCGAAGTTTTAAAGTCTTCACAGAGATTTACATACTTTGCACAGCGACAGGGATACCTCCTAATTGTGTTGAAAGAGTCACATACTGTATTTATAAGGTACAATTCACCCTAAATTATCATTCTGTCTTTATATAATCATGTATTGGCGGACTCAAAATCACACATGACATGAGCTGACCGTGAGCTGTTACTACAGAGGGCGGACTATGATAGACGCGCGCTTATGGCAAGCCGTTTTAGCATTTAAACCTTTGTTCTGACTATCCATAAATATATTAAGAGATACCTCTAATTATATTTTGACTAGTCATAATTATAATTCGACTAGTCAGAATGACAATTAGAGATATCTGCAATTACAATTGTACTAGTACGAAATCAGATTGGAGATATCTGCAAATATATTATGACTGACTAGTCATATTCCTCCATTGACTTCCATTGAAAAATATTTGCAGGTATCTCTAAATGAGTTTTGACTAGTCACAATTGTAATTAGAGATATCTCTAAATGAATTTAATTAAATATGAATTAAATACCTGGAAATGTGGATTTTTTTTTTGCACACTCAAAAAACGCAAGTGACCAAGCAAAGCCTTAAGCTTTTCCTGTTAAATTCAATTGAATAGAAAGCTTATTTTTTTTGCACCTTTACTTAAATTGTTGCTTAATTTTGTCTCTGTCATTTCAATAATATTTTTAAGAAGTTTTTTAATTGTTTTATTTTCCAGAGACAGGCCTGTTTAATATATTTTCTTAAAGAAGGTTCAGTTTAACAAGTTGAAACAAAAGAAATACAAAAAAAAATAGTTTACTTGGTAAAATTTGCATTTCAGTTAAATTTTCAATTTTATTTCAAATATCGTGATACATATCCAATCGTGAACATTATATCGTGATACACATCGTATCGTGAGCTGAGTGTATCGTTACACCCCTAATATTTGCACATTTAAAAGTTTTCCATTTTCATCACTCAAAAGCTTATTTCGAAGACTGCTAGCACATTTGTGGTCGCGTCAACATATATTGATTCAGCCTTCATGACTGAAACGAAATAGGGTGTGTTTTGAAAAAGGCTGGTTACAGAGACAAAAAAAAAACAAAGACGGTAGTTCTGACACGTAACGCACATTTTCAAAGCAGAATATCTTCAGCTTGGTTTTTCAGATAAACGAGAACGTTCACCGAGCATGTTTCTGAAACCTCCGCAAACATATTATGGCCTCTTTATCCTTTAGAAGAGTCAAAAACTTGCATACAGCACATTTAAAGGGTCACGAAACATCAAAACTGTTTTGAGCTGTTGACAGTCGTATTTGTGTCCCACACTGCTAAAAACACTATTAGGACACCTATATTTCACTAAAAAGTGTAAATTGGTTGTTTTTGCGTTATTTCAAGCAAATTCGTACTTCCGGTTTGAAACGAATTTTTGAAGCTGCGTCACGGTCATGACATAATAGTGTGTATTCCAGCGTGCAGACTGGACGTCTGTGCCAGAGTGTGTCTTATTACGTCTTACATTGTGCTGCATTGATGCATGAGTAAAGCTTGGTTCAAACCAATCAGCGCGCTCTATTGTGCAAATTCATTAATATTCATTACTGTCACAGTGTTTAGACGGCAGAGACGCCACGTTGTGTTGGCAAAACAAGCGTGAAGTGTTGCTTTTATAGTTTGCTGCAGTTAAGTTTTGTTTTCATTTTCTCTCTGTGAGAGCTCAGCTGGATCACGTGTGGATTAACCGTGTACGCGACGCTCGACAACAATAACTTACGTGTCTAAGGAGGATTATTGTTTACCTGAGAGCTGTTCTCATCTGCAAACGCTGAGATCCGGATTCGCTTGTAGTCTCCTCTTAATAAAGACGCGGCTTTAGTTGCTGGTGATTGTCCTGTCTCTACAGATTTGGTAAGTGAGCGACCAGTGCTCTTTGTTTATTCAGTTTGTTCGTATCGAACTAAGTTATCTATTGCACAGAGTGTAAACATGTTAGCACCACAACCAAACTTTAACCTCGTGTTGGATTTTCACCGCATTTTGTGACTGGAATAACACACGCGGCTTTCTGACACTACCTGCCGAGTGCATCCAAGTTTCCGGGAAATGCTGAGGTTTTTTCTCTCATTCGCCGTGCGGTATCAAACATTGCATGAAAATACACGCTTAGAGCAGCGCCTCGAATCAAATATCACGTTTGTCGCGAGCGACGTGAATGAATTCCCTGAATGAAAGAGCCAAACTGCAGTTAAAGTCCACCATTTAATAATTTGGCAAATAATTTGACTACAGATGTCCATGTAAACACAGTCACTTTGTCCCCTGTGCGTGTGTATTTTGACTCTGAAACTCAGTGCGCCCAAATAGACACTCCATCACCATCCCACTTCAGTTCCTCCGACACTCCCCCCTAAACAGAGCTGGACACGCCCACTTTTCAGACTTTTTCCAAAGTAGAGGTGTGAAAACACCCTGCTGAAACGAGGGGTTTCATGGCCCTTTAAAGAATTAGTTCACCCATACATACTTGTCAAATTTCAACAAAACAATAACGTCGTTTCAATACGTTCGACATTTGTTCATCATCGGAACGCAAACGAAGACATGTTAGCATAAATCTGCAATCATGCGAAGCTCCAAGAACACTTTTGTGCACCAAAAAAACTTGTTTGTTGTGCTGCTCACTCTGATAGCAATACGTCGTACTGCTTTTGTGGTAAACGCACACCATGACCTCACATGTGCGAGAGGATACAGGCAAACAAATTGTTTAGCACATAACAGTGCTCTTGGAGCTTCTCATGATTACAGCCGAACCACTGGAGACACACGGACTGTTTCTCTCAGGACATTTGCTGGATGAGAGAGCTCCTGGATGTCATCTAAAGTAACGTCGTTTTGCGTTCTGATGATGAACGAAGATCTCAGGCGATTGAAATGACAGAGTTGTCCTTTTTGTGTGAACTAACCCTTCAGTGACTTCTGCCTACAGCTGTAAAGTCTCTACGCGTGAGCAGAATGTGCGTGTCGTACTTGTGGTCCTTGTGTTTGAGCAGCTGACAGTCTCTGCAGGTGAGGCGGTCGCAGGTTTCACAGAACAGCTTCAGCGGCTCCTGTCTGTGGATGTCGCAGAACACCGGCTTCTGCGTGGAAGCCCCCATCGCCTCTGCCGACACACACCCACACACAAGATTAATCTAGGAACTTCAGAAATGGTCCGTCAACTTCATTCACAGGGGTTGTTGTAAAAGACTCGTCTGAAAGTCTCAAGTAGTTTAAAAGTTTGAATAATTATTTCTTAGGAAGTTTGAAACGGCTAGAACTACATATAGGTTAGCATGTTTAGGCAGTGAATAGGGGGTTCTGATTGGTTGCTAAGGTGTAGCTAGGATGTTCTGTATGGTTGCTAAGGTGTTGCTAGGCGGATGCTACGGTGTTCTAGGTGGTTGCTAAGGTGTTGCTAGGTGGTTGCTAAGGCATTGCTTGGCGGTTGCTAAGATGTTCTAGGTCATTGCTAAGGTGTTGCTAGGTGGTTGCTAAGGCGTTGCTAAGTGGTTGCTAAGGTGTTGCTAGGTGGTTGCTAGGGTGTTCTGATTGGTTGCTAAGGTGCTGCTAGGTGGTTGCTAAGGTATTGCTTGGGGGTTGCTAGGGTGTACTGACTGGTTTCTAGGCTGTTGCTAAGGTGCTGATAGGTGGTTGCTAAGGTGTTGCCGGATGGTTGCTAAGGTGTTGCTAGGCAGTTGTTAAGGCATTCTAGGTCATTGTTAAGGTGTTGCAAGGTGGTTGCTATGGTGTTGCTAGATAGTTGCCAAGGTGTTCTAGGTCATTGCTAAGGTGGTGCAAGGTGGTTATTATGGTGTTGCTAGATAGTTGCTAAGGTGTTATAGGTCATTGCTAAGGCGTTGCAAGGTGGTTGCTAGGGTGTTCTGATTGGTTGCTAGGTGGTTGCTAAGGTGCTGCTAGGTGGTTGCTAAGGTACTGCTTGGTGGTTGCTTGGGTGTGTGGGCTGATTGCTAGGCTATTGCTAAGGGGTTGATAAGTGATTACTAAGGTGTTGCTAGGCAGTTGCTAAGGCATTCTAGGCACTTGCTACAGTGTTGCTGGGGTGTTCTGAGTGGTTGCTAAGGTGTTGCTAGACGGTTGCTAGGATGTTCTAAGTGACTGCTAGGTAGTTACTTCCATAAATTAGCATGGTTCTAGTATGAATTAGCATGTTGCTACAAGGTTTTAGCACAAATTAGCATGTTGTTAACATAAATCCAGTATGAATTAACATGTTGCTAGCATGTTTCTAGTATAGACTAGCATTAATGTAGTATAAATTAGCATGTTGCTTGTATGTTTATAGTATGAATTAGCATGTTGCTAGTATGTTTCTAGTATAAACTAGCATGTTGTTAGCATGAATTTATTATGAGTTAGCATGTTGCTATCATTTTTATAGTATAAATTAGCATGTTTGCTAGGATGTTAGTATGTTTGCTAGCATGTTTCTAGTACAAACTAGCATGTTGTTAGCATGAATTTAGTAAGAGTTAGCATGTTGCTAGTATGTTTATAGTATGAATTAGCATGTTTGTTAGTATGTCACTATGTTTGCTAGTATGTTTCTCGTATAAACTAGCATGTTGTTAGCATGAATTTAGTATGAATTAGCATGTTTGCTAGCATGTTAATAGTATGAATTGGCATGTTTGCTAGTATGTTTATAGTATGAATTAGCATGTTTGCTGGTATGCTTTTAGTACGAATTAGCACATTTGCTAGTATGTTTCTAGTATAAACTAGTATGTTGTTAGCATGAATTTAGTATGAATTAGCATGTTTGCTAGCATGTTTATAGTATGAATTATCATGTTTGCAAGTATGTTTGCATGTCTGTAAGTATGTTGCTAGTATGTTATCAGTATGTCCAATGTAAAGTCAATGGCAGTTTATTACAATGAAAGTCTATGGGACAGTTGCTAAGGTGTGGTAAGTGGTTGCTAGGGTGTGGCTAGTAAGTTGAAAAGTCATCATTGATTGGCAGATTGGTAGTATGAGTTAAATTAGCTTTTGTCTGTTTGACAGTCTGGCGCAGGAGTTATGATGTCACAAAGTTTGGTCCAATGTTAAGTCAATAGGATTTTTGGAAAAGTTTTGGGAAAACCGTCAGTCGTATCAGTTGGAAAAGATAAAGCAACTTAATTCAGTATAGATTAGAGGTTTGGAATTAGGTTTAGTGGTTGTAGTATGAACGGTCTAGGAGGAGATATGTTCTTAAAATAGTCTCAGAAGAACAGTATGTTGCTTTCTCAAGCCACCATGATCAGTTAAAATCCTGTTGGCTTCGTAGCTTTAAATCAATCACCAACCTGAAGACATCTCCGTGATTTGCCGGACCGTGTGATCTCTGGTGAACTTGACGCGCTGATGAGCGTCGATGCAGGTGACACACAGAAACTCCACACACTCCACGCAGAAGCCGCTGGCCTCAGTGTTATCATCACAGCTCATGCAGAGCTGCAGACAGAAAGAGCCGCTGAGGTAAGATTTTCATTATTATGGAAAATACTAACATTTAATAACATGAAGCACCATTACAAAACAAACGTTGTATAGAATGAGCTACATGCACATTAGGGTTGGGCCGATAGACAATGCCATCGTCCATCGCCGATGGCCGATAGACAAAACGATGCTGAGGCGGCATCGCCGATCCTCCGCCCCACCCCCGTCGCAAACCCGCTCACAAAAAATACACACTCAGGCCTCGTTTACTCTAATACGTCTTCGTATTAAAATGGCATTTTCGAACGAAAATGATCCACATCCACACCGTGATGACGACTCTTCGGTCTTGTGAATCTATCAGGTAACGTGTCACAGCGTCAGTACACTGCTTCAATCTTTCACTTTCACACTTAGTAATTTTAGTGAAAACCTCAGATACTGTTGATTGTGCGACTTTTTTACCGACCATTCTCCCGCAGAAAAAGTGATTGACAGGCGGTAATCTGTGTGCAGCTTATCTTTATTTATTTACGATTTGTTTATGGGTTAAACAAAGACCATGCGGATCATGTAGTTGAAACGCTAGGCTACAAATAAATAATTCGTTATGAATTAATTAATTATTCATAAATAACTAATCCTATGACGACGATGCCATCGTCTATCGCGATGTTTCACTTTAGACATCGTACAATGCCGGATTGGTTGACATCGCCCAACCCTTATGCACATGGAGTTTTAATGATCAGTAAGTTTCCGGCGATCTGTCGTGCCATTATTAACTCGTTTTTAAGATTTGATTTCTTTAAAATCGGTACTCTTCACATGTATATAGTGAGTATTACACCAGACACCATTAAATTACATTAAATTAAAATGAAAACCAGACTAACAATTTCATTAAAATGTCATTATAAAACACTGTGCGCGAAATATCTGCCAAATTTGTTAATAAAATACAATTATTTATTTTTTATTTTCACAGTGACGACACATCGACCCTGTCAAATCGATAATCAAAAGTTAATAATAATCAAGTTTCCCATTTAACATTTCATTTCCGCATCAAGACTGCCAATATTAAAATAAAAAAGCCAAAGTGAAAAATACGAGTTTGTTATTAATGTTCACGCTAAAATAGTGACACAATACGAATTAAAATGTAAATCTAAGTTTTTCCTTTATTGACACCTTTTTATTTGAGTTTTAATTTTCTACTTCAACCTCTATGCGAAGCTTATGCTAATCAGTGGGAGGGGCGTATTCAAGTGATCTTGAGTGCCTTCACAGAGCCCGAGAGCAGAAGCACGGTTTTAATGTATAACAGAAGTAAAATGGCAAAAACGGTTAGTCAGCCTTTACATGAAGCGGCTGCTGCAACAAGAGGAACAGTGGACACAGGATAACCAACCGTCATCCCACAGCAGGAGTCGCGGGCTTCTTCGGTGGGCAGAGAAACTGCAGCGTAAGAACGGTAGGCCTTGGGATGAATTCGTATAGTATATTGTATTATACTGCGTTCACACCAGACGCGGCACGCGCAAATAAATCGTGCGAATAGCCGCGTGAACATTTGAATTTACACGTCTAATTTGCGCGTCAAACCCCGCTTCATTCACGCATCAAATTCACTTCAGTACAGACACGGATTCGCGTGATGGGCGGGGCTTCTGTCTGCCCGGTAACTCTAGCTTCATAGCTAAATGGCTAACATGGTTTTTTTGGAGAGAATAGCAGTGTTTTTGTGCTTTACGAAGACTGAAAAACAGCGTCGATACGTTTAGGGCCGTGTCTGAGTCCACTAGATCCTTTCAGAGGTGCATCCAGCTCTGTGAGCTTATTAACTCCTCCAGAAACTGAACCTGGATGACGGAGGTTTTCAGCGGCGCTTCTGACTGAGCCGAGCCAAGTTTGATGAACTTTTTGTCGATGTCGGATGGAGGATTTCCCCCGGGACTCCAACAACAGGTGTACGTCACAATCACGCCCCCACAAGAGCAAGCTCCTGATTGGTTAACGCGGCGCAAATGTCCGCTGAAGATCAGATTTTCGACATGCATCAAATGCGCAAACGCTCAATTCGCGCGGCAGGGTGTCTATTCGCGCGTTTGCATTAACTTAATATGTAAATCAACCGCGCATGACGCGCGTTCCGCTTCTGGTGTGAACACAGCATTAGGACGATAACAACTTTTCAGTACTAAAATCTTTGAAAGACAGCTAAATTAGCTCGGTAAAGTTGGTTTTAGGTTTGATATTCGCCAAACATTCACGCACGCAATTTTAGGGATCATGATTAGGGATAATTTTCTCACACCCCCACCCCACAGCTTGGACATGAAACAACCTAATGCCGAAAAAGCAGGCTCTAAATGTTTGCTCTGAGCTGAAAAATGATGAACAGTCAATATATCGAATAATATTCCAAAGGCGAACCACAATTTGAACTGTTACGAAGACTTTTGTCCTTTGTTGCCAACACGGATTAGCTAGGCATACCGATGAGAGCCAGATTTAAAGGTTTGAACAGACTACAGTCCACTACATGAGAACAATGCGTCCTTAAACCTCATCCCTTACTACAAGGTCTTTTGCTGTTAGGGTTACATATTTCTCTTGAGAAAGAAAATCATAATTGTAAAAAGTTTAGTCGCTTATTTACATGATTTTTCATGGCCAGAAATCAGGATAATAAAATTCCCTGATAATTCCAGCTTTTCCTGGCAGCACAGACGATTTTTGCTCATGGTGTAGAGTATCAATCCAGGCAGGCATAAAGCCCCGGTCAGATCCCACGATTATGGCACGATTTTCGTAGAGATTCGTTAACGACAAATAGATGTCGTGACACAAGATTCAATTGTTTCTTCACGTGTAATGTGGCATAGTTCACTACAACCGATCCCATCCCATGTCACGACACCGTCGCAGAAAGTCTAGCATCTTTAATTTTTTATCGTTCTTTACGACACGTTCTGCCACGTGTGACCGAAAAATATACATTTAGATTTCAAAGAAATTATATTACATTTTTATTAGTTGTCAGCCAGCATCAGTGTTTATTGAGATTGAAGTTAATTAAATTTAGATAAGAAATATTGTTATAGCAACACTCCTGACTGCTTTGGGAAATAACGTTTGTCGTAGACGTCACGGGATGACTGATCGTGAAGGAACATGTTATATTAAAATTCGCATATTCTGACATAGTGACTTTCGTAACCGACAATAAAAATCGTGCATCTGACCGGGGCTTAACAGTGCGGCCACTAACTGACGGGTTCTGTGGCAGGCGTGCATAACCGTGATGAGTTCCGGGGCAGCCACGAATAAAAGAGCTTTGTGTAATGTGGCATAGTTCACGACAACCGATCCCATGCCTGTGACGCCTCACGACACCGTCGCAGAAAGTCTAGCATGAAATTTTTTCTCGTTCTTTTCGACAAGTTCTGCCATGTGTGTGACACGAAAAATATACATTTAGATTTCCAATAAAATATATTAAATAGTTATTAGCTGTCAGCCAGCATCAGTGTTTATTGAGATTGAAGTTAATTAAATTGAGATAAGAAATATTGTTATAGCAACACTCCTGACTGCTTTGGGAAATAACGCTTGTCGTAGACGTCAAGGGATGACTGATCGTGAAGGAACGTGTAGTCTGGCACATTTGTTACCCCTGACAAGTCAAGATTTTATCAAGAAAAAAACAAATTGCATTATTCTGACATTGTGACTTTTCGTAACCGACAATAAAAGTCGTGCATCTGAACAGTGCGGCCACTAACTGTGACGGGTTCTGTGGCAGGCGTGCATAACCATGATGAGTTCCGTAGCAGCCGCGTATAAAAGAGGCTGGTGCCGTAGCAGGCGCATATTACTGTGACGGGTTCCGAAGTATCCCCATATATTACCATGGCGGACTCCATATCAGCCGCGCATAACCGTGGCGGGTGCCGAGGCAGGCTTACAAAACAGGTATTTTTTGGCAGGCGCGTAAAACCGTAACAGGGGCTCCCTCTCCAAACAAATCGCCCCTCAGTGCAAAAAGTGCGTTTGGTGTGATGAAGGCCTGAGCAAACATAAACGTGAATATTGACGATGGTGTGATTGACTGTTATCATGGTGCGGATGTAAGCACACACACCTGACAGCTCTTTTCCATTGTGCTGCTGGGCACTTCCACAGAATCCTTGACGAAGAAATTATCCAGGACCTCCACGTCCATGCACTCCTGCTGGCAGACCGGACAGCGGATCATGCTCACTGACGAAAGACAAGAAGAGAAGGAGAATGATAAGAATAACAATGCAGCAGATGCTTTTTAAAGAATACTTGCAAACAAAAACGAATCTTCTGTTGAACACTAAGAATGATATAGTGAAGGATGCTGGAGAAAAACAGCCATTGACTTCCATACTTACTTAAAACAGCCGGGTTAATAAAAACCCAACAGGTAACCCAATGATGGGTTATTTTGGTACCGAACTGCTGTTGGGTTATTTTAACCCAATCCATTGAGTTGTTAAGGTTAACCCAACAATTTAAGTCACAAAAAATAACTCATTTGTTGGGTTATTTTGCCAAAAAGTCGCTTAGCCACTAATATCTCATATTTGTGCATCATTTCCTCCAAAACAAACTGTAGAAATGAACACAGTGGTGGAGAAAGCACTGTTATATGTATATAGATCAGCTATGAAGTGCACATTTGTATCGTCAAATTAAGAGTGCTGGTGAAACGGATGTAAAAAACACAACACGTAGAGGTTGATACGAAAATAGCAAAAACTTTATTGGGTAAAATCAACTTTATAATGCAAAATCAACATTACGTGCGCATATTAACACAGCTGTTCAGTGTCAGTTAGATCAGTTAACTGTTACAATTTAACGTTTTTAACACAACTGGTTGAGTTATTAAATAAATAACCCAACAAAGGTCAAAAATAACTCAAAGCACCAAATATTTAACACAACTGGTTGAGTTATTAATAAATGACCCAATAAAGGTTTAAAATAAGGCAACAAAGCACCAACTCAACTATTAGGTTAAATAAATAACCCAACGTTTTTTTAAGAGTAGTATTTTTCGCTCCTGCTATCAACGGCTGCTTTTCTCCAGCATTCTTCAGAACATCTTGTGTTTTGCTCCAAGGAAACAAGAAATTCATAAAGGTTTACACCTGTGTGAGTGTGAGGAAATGGAGGGAATGCTCATTTTATTGATGAACTGTCCCTGCTTTGGTTTGTAGTGGAGTGTTTACCACTGAATGCACTTCCCTGAAGGTAGATACAAAGCTAACCAACTCCAGCGCAGGTTTTATTCTGGGTTAAACCTAATCTGGACCAATCAGTATATTCCTGAGCATCTGTGTGCTCCAAATGTAAAGCCTTTTACACTAAAAGCATTCGAGTCTAACCTAGTCTTTTGCCGCAAAAAAATGTAATCCTATTAAAGTCCGTGAGAAATCAAAACCAGCCATATTGATTTTGTTAGCTGTAATCTTTCATTCAAACCTGAAAATTCCTATTGGTTTTTAGTTAAATCATCAGATGATGTGTTTTAAGGTAATGGGCGCGGCTTACACACTTAACCACGCCCCCTCCAGCTCTCAGTTCTGACAACAAACGGAAATGGTGAGCAGGAGGAGTCTGTTAGGCTGTAATAACTCTTCTGTAACCCATTTCTCCATCTTTCTGAATGAAATGCCTACTTTACGACATCCATTACGGCTGCGGTAGAAAAAACAAGCCACGCCCACTGTTTATTCATTTAATATTCCGTTTCTCTAGGAACTGCGTCACAATTCGGAAAAAAATTATGATCGCAGCTTTCCGGTTGATTGGGACTTTAAAGGAATCGAAATTATTTATACTTCATATTATAAAGTAAAACAAAATCTATTTAAATTGTCAATTATTATCAATTACAGCTTTAAATTAAAATGAAGATTTAAATATTTACATACACATTTTATTTTTGCTGCACTCATCTGTCTGTGATTGGCTGTTTGCTGCACTTGTGTCGTGTGATTGGCTGTTTGCTGCACTTGTGTTGTGTGATTGGCTGTTTGATGCACTCATCTGTCTGTGATTGGCTGTTTGCTGCACTTGTGTTGTGTGATTGGCTGTTTGCTGCTCTCATGTGTCGTGTGATTGGCTGTTTGCTGCACTTATCTGTCTGTGATTGGCTGTTTGCTGCACTTGTGTCGTGTGATTGGCTGTTTGCTGCACTTGTGTTGTGTGATTGGCTGTTTGCTGCACTTGTGTTGTGTGATTGGCTGTTTGCTGATCTCATGTGTCGTGTGATTGGCTGTTTGCTGCACTTGTGTTGTGTGATTGGCTGTTTGCTGCACTTGTGTTGTGTGATTGGCTGTTTGCTGATCTCATGTGTCGTGTGATTGGCTGTTTGCTGCACTTGTGTTGTGTGATTGGCTGTTTGCTGCACTTGTATCGTGTGATTGGCTGTTTGCTGCTCTCATGTGTCGTGTGATTGGCTGTTTGCTGCTCTCATGTGTCGTGTGATTGGCTGTTTGCTGCTCTCATGTGTCGTGTGATTGGCTGTTTGCTGCACTTGTGTTGTGTGATTGGCTGTTTGCTGCACTTGTGTTGTGTGATTGGCTGTTTGCTGCACTTGTGTTGTGTGATTGGCTGTTTGCTGCTCTCATGTGTCGTGTGATTGGCTGTTTGCTGCACTTGTGTTGTGTGATTGGCTGTTTGCTGCACATGTGTCGTGTGATTGGCTGTTTGCTGCACTTGTGTTGTGTGATTGGCTGTTTGCTGCTCTTGTCATGTGTGATTGGCTGTTTGCTGCTCTTGTCATGTGTGATTGGCTGTTTGCTGCTCTCATCTGTCTGTGATTGTTTGCTGCACTTGTGTTGTGTGATTGGCTGTTTCCTGCACTTGTGTTGTGTGATTGGCTGTTTGCTGCACTTGTGTTGTGTGATTGGCTGTTTGCTGATCTCATGTGTCGTGTGATTGGCTGTTTGCTGCACTTGTGTTGTGTGATTGGCTGTTTGCTGCACTTGTGTCGTGTGATTGGCTGTTTGCTGCTCTCATGTGTCGTGTGATTGGCTGTTTGCTGCTCTCATGTGTTGTGTGATTGGCTGTTTGCTGCACTTGTGTTGTGTGATTGGCTGTTTGCTGCACTTGTGTTGTGTGATTGGCTGTTTGCTGCACATGTGTCGTGTGATTGGCTGTTTGCTGCACTTGTGTTGTGTGATTGGCTGTTTGCTGCTCTTATCATGTGTGATTGGCTGTTTGCTGCTCTCATCTGTCTGTGATTGTTTGCTGCACTTGTGTTGTGTGATTGGCTGTTTCCTGCACTTGTGTTGTGTGATTGGCTGTTTGATGCACTCATCTGTCTATGATTGGCTGTTTGCTGTTTTCATGTGTCGTGTGATTGGCTGTTTGCTGCACTTGTGTTGTGTGATTGGCTGTTTGCTGCACTTGTGTTGTGTGATTGGCTGTTTGCTGCACATGTGTCGTGTGATTGGCTGTTTGCTGCACTTGTGTTGTGTGATTGGCTGTTTGCTGCTCTTGTCATGTGTGATTGGCTGTTTGCTGCTCTCATCTGTCTGTGATTGTTTGCTGCACTTGTGTTGTGTGATTGGCTGTTTGATGCACTCATCTGTCTATGATTGGCTGTTTGCTGTTTTCATGTGTCGTGTGATTGGCTGTTTGCTGCACTTGTGTTGTGTGATTGGCTGTTTGCTGCACTTGTGTTATGTGATTGGCTGTTTGCTGCACTTATCTGTCTGTGATTGGCTGTTTGCTGCACTTGTGTTGTGTGATTGGCTGTTTGCTGCTCTCATGTGTCGTGTGATTGGCTGTTTGATGCACTCATGTGTCTGTGATTGGCTGTTTGCTGCACTTGTGTTGTGTGATTGGCTGTTTGCTGCACTTGTGTTGTGTGATTGGCTGTTTGCTGCACTCATGTGTCTGTGATTGGCTGTTTGCTGCACTCATGTGTCGTGTGATTGGCTGTTTGCTGCTCTCGTGTGTCGTGTGATTGGCTGTTTGCTGCTCTCGTGTGTCGTGTGATTGGCTGTTTGATGCACTCATGTGTCTGTGATTGCATTCAGAAATCTCTCCCTTGTAATATGTGAGTATATTTACTGTAGAAAACCTGTCCGTGAACTATGAGGACAAAAAAAAAAAAAACATTAATAAATAAAATAATCATTAATTGTAATCAAGTTAAAATTAATCAATTAAACAATTAATCGAGATTTTGATTTTAGGCCAAATCCCCCAGCCCCAATATATATCATTATTAGGATGTGACATCTTGACAGGAGATTGATGCCATTTTGCCTACTCCCAGCCATATGTTTCAGGAACCCCCAGGCCCAAACACTACATCATTTGCATAAATAGTGGCTGCAAGCTCTGAGTTGGGTGCGTCAGACAAAGAAGACACGCAAGATGTGTTTAGGATCCATTGATTATAGTGTTTCAGACGCCGCAAATCCCTAAACACGACCATACAAGTAGACATGGGACCATAACCGCTTTCAAGGTATACCGCGGTCTGGAAAAGACAAGGTTTTAAAAACCGGCTGCACCATTCCTAAGGCATGTGTACGATTTTTTATTTACATTTTTTTTTCAGCTTTTTAGGAAACCAGCAGAAAACAAATATCCAAAGATGCTATTTAAATAAAGAAATCTGTGTTTTTAAAACCAACGAAGAGAGCAGCCTGACATGTTTACTGCTTCAAAATATTCGAGTTATTTCTCAAAATAAAATAGATTGTGTCCATAAGGGAAAAAAACATTTTCATTTTTTCAGGGTGACCTTAAAATGTCTTAAATTCACTGAAATATGCTGTTGTGGGTTTTAAATACTTTTAAACAGGTCATCATTTTCACAAGTTGTCCATGTAAAGCTATAGCCAATCAGTACAAACAAATCCATTTATCTAAAAAAAAAAAAAAAAGGTGTTAACAAAATTATTAACTACTTAATAATTGTTTAATTGTCTTCTTTACATCCTTACAATAACATTTGTTCAGAAATTCTCCATGTTTTCATGCATGAGTTCATGCCGTGCATAAATGTTGTTTATTACAGCTTTGAAAACTTTGAGAGACTCTGATTGCCTTTAATTTAACGTTGTTTATGCTACATTGCATTCGTGAGAAATATTCTGTTTAGTGACAAGGCAGCACTAGTCCGATCGGGCCAGTAACCATTCTGTCTACTGTCCCGAGCATCTCTCACGCTGGCCCCAGGCCATCAGGCAGTCCTTATAGTTGAG